ATCTCCTGGAATCGACAAACACGATACCTGGGCGTGACGATGGACCAGCGTCTCACGTGGAAACCGCACATCGTGGAGACGGTGGCGCGAGCGAAGACCACCAGGGCTAGGCTCTATCCCTTACTCAAAGGTGGAAACACCCTCAGTTTAAGGAATAAGCGAACGCTTATCAAGGTGGTACTTCAACCGCAGCTAACCTACGCCTCCACGGCGTGGGGTCACGCGGCAAAAAGCCACTTAAAGTCATTACAGGCTGTGGAAAACATAGCCCTCCGCACGGCCACCGACGCGCCCTGGTACGTAAGAAACACTGACATATTACGAGACTTACAATACACAAACGCTACACAGACAATAAGACAAAACGCGGAGAAACGATTTGACGTAGCCGCTAGACATGACAATCCCCTCCTCAGGCAAGCCGTTGACTACGTACCCGACGTGACCGACAAACACAAAAGACCTAGACACCAACTTTTTGACCCTGGGTGACCACCCCAACGACATCCCCCCCCCCTGACCGCTAACCTTTTCTGTTTCAGAGACCGCCAGGATTAAGAAACGAAGACATCGACACACACATACACCCACATACACACCCCCCCCCATACCCTCCTTACCTCACCCTTACCGCGCTAGCCTAAGGGCCACCTTAGCAAAGCGCATTCCAGGCTGCATAGCCGCACTACCCTACCCAACCATAAACATGACACCATCCCCGGGGTTTACACAGACTAGTCGGCGAAGCAAGAAGAGCGCCAGAAGAAAGGGCCTTAGCTGGCAGGGCCAGGGGGGGCAGGACAAAAAGAAGTCCCACAAAGCGCCTACACCGGTCGCATTTGCGGTCGGGGTAGACGACGAATGGGGCCCACCTACGAAGGCTGTCCAGGCCTACACGAGATGAGGCAGGATAAAAAGGGATAATGCCCCTCGATCCAAATCATTGAGGCCAATTTCTAGCCATGGAATAATGGCGCGGTCCCAAGAAAATTTATCGGTCCTCGCTCGATTTCTAACACTAATCTAACTAATCTTGTTTTATATTTCATAGTTTTCAATAACAAAGTATCTACTTATTTTGTTAATAATGTTACTAAATAAATATTAACTTTTTAAGTGGCATTTCATGATTTTTCTAAAATCAATGAAAACCCATTATTTGCGTACAATTTTGTGTACAATATACAGGGTGTGCTTTTTAAATATCCCTATATCTTGAAAACCAAATGAGATAAAAATGGTTCTGTATTGGATACAAATAACTTATTCGATTCTAAATAATATTTCTCTTTGGTATAGAAGGCAGAGCAAACCAATAAAGTTTTTTCATTACAGTAGGTAACTCAGAAAAGTGGTCCATGGAAGCACTATTGTTGTGTGCAACTTTTAAAACATAATTATAAAAAAATCACTGATTTCTGAAATATTTGAATTTGAAAAGTTTTTTTAAGAGACCTGTTTATTTGTTTTACTGCGGCATCTTTGAAAATACTCAGATGGCATGACATAATGTCGTGTTATATGATCTGAAGTGTCTAATAATTGAGGATTTTGGGGCGATTCGCCAACCTGGGCTCGTCGCGAAGACGTCGAAGCAGAGCTTCGAGCCCCACGTTGAGCGCCATGTCGTGAACTATGATTGGAAGTATTAGTTTCCTCGACCTGCGTCCGCGGTGGAGACACCAGAAGTTCAAATGGATCGTCACTTTGGACGCCAGGTCGCGCTATATTCTCAATCATCGGTGAAATTGGTGTTTCGCCGCCTTCCCAATTCAACTGTCTCAGGCATATCCGTAGGTACAAGACGACTTCTAGGAATATACTGAGTGTCCTGAAACTCGCTCGAAGGGTGGAATACGACAATAACATTCCTATTATTTGATAAGCTTATATTCAGTTATTAAATGTTTGAAATTATTTATCTTTGTGGAAAACACTATTTTAAGAATACGGCGCCCTTAAATCGAAAAATTAGTAATAAATGGATAAGAATGGTGCATGTCAGTGGCCACCTAGGTATCCAGACCTCACCGTAATGGACTTCTTTATCTCGGGCTATATAAAAAGTCTTGTACAGTGTTCCACCTGCTACTTGCAATGATATAAAGGAAAGGATTAGAGATGCACTTGCCACAATCACCCCAGATATTTTAAGGAATGTGAGAATATCATTGGAAGATAGAATGCTGTATTCAAGAGATTGGTTATCAATTCGATCATCAATTAAAATTTTTCTTTGTTTCTTCTAAAAGTAAAATTTCCTTTAATAAAAATATTTTTCATATTGTTCCTAATTAATTTAATTCAGTTATGTACAACAAACATATTGATACAAAATTAACATAATTATTCTGCTTATAAAATAATATTTTTTATTAGAAAACTTTCTTGAATATTGTCGTGATTACGTTTTACCAATTCAATAATGACCTCGATAGACACTTTGAAAGAGTTTTTAATTTCCTAATTTCCAAAGTAAAAATGTACTGGGTGTCGCATTTAAAATAACCAAATTATTGCTGTTTAAAGTTGAGAGAAGATTCAGCAGTTTTTTAAACACCCTGTACAATACTAAGTGAAGACAAATATAATAATTTATAACATCAAGGATCTAAAATACACTCTCCAAAGCTGCTTCCTTAAACTAATTTTTTTATTGCTAATATTAAATTTCTACGCTAAGCCTGCATTATCACTAAAATTGAAATACCTCACAACGAAGTTCTTCATGAATTACCTAATTCACGAATTTATTGGTAACAGTGTGGTTTTACTGGTTTTACACTGCTACATACTTTGTTAAGTTTTTTGACGCATGAATCAGTTCTACCAACGAATAAAAGCAAATGAATTTCAAAAATGTCACTTTCTCACTCATAATTGTAGTGATACAAGAGCGGTACCATTTTGACACATATTATATAAATATTAGTTTTTGTAAGTAACAAATCAGTAAAAACAATACAAAACTAGTACGACGCCACACAATTATTTACATATTCCAATAACATAACCTCATTACTGATCTGATGCTGGAAATCTGTTGGGTTGGTACTGAACTTCACGAAGAAATTGACAAAAATTAGAATATGCTCTAATTCGTCAAGAACTTGATGAATAAATTCATGAATTTATTTGACAGCAGATTTGGTGCATTACACTTGTCTAATTTCTTGATGAAGCGACTACATGAATTAATTCATCAATAAATTGTCAATGTAATTAATAATGCTAATCAGCGTTTTAACCCAAAATTAAATGTCACGCTCAGTCCCGCTTTTTCCGCCCGTTATTAAATAGATATTTCCTGATTACGTCCCCCTTTTTTTTTAGACATCGATTTTATTGACCACAATTTGTTTCCCAGATATCCTGACCTTTTTTTGCCCGAAAAAAAATCTGGCAAAGCTGATGCCAATACTGAATTTATTCTATTTGGCTGTTCGACACTATGTATTTTCTACTGTTCTTAATTTTATTAAATTTTCGAATTTTATTTCTAGGATTCAAATGACCTTTACATCGTTTGCTTTTTCTTGCATCAAATTAATTTTTTAAATGATATATTCACTGCGTCAGAAGGATTCCAATTATTCATAATATTAAAACAAAGTTTAACAAGTGATACTTTTATTGTCTATTATAATATGAAAACAAAAACAGTATAAATCGAAGTAGATTTATATAAACTAATTTCATGGAATTTATTTACTTTAATGAAAGTCACACTCACACAACTCTTCCACATAAAAAAGGTACACTTTTGGATAACTTACACTGTATGCGACTTTTATTATTGTAAACAATTACCATTCCTTATATGTCCTTAAAAACAGAACAGTAAATCACAAGAAATAACAATTTTAGATCTTATAATTACTTAAAAAATAATGTCATTCAAAAAAGTCCTTATACTAACTGCAGATATATAGGTAGGTACACTATAGTCGACTAATAATTTCAGCCAGATTTGAAAAATCTGACGAGAATAAAGGATTAAAAAACTTTATGACTACGTTTTAACAAACTATAAGCTTTATTTGGAAGTGTTTATATGTATATATCAATTACAGCGTACGATAAGATTTCCCGCAATAATTTTGTTGCCTTGCATGTATTTTGATTATTTAGACTCCTAACTGGAAGAGATATATATTTTTTGTAATTTAAACCAGGTCATTTCTTTCAACACTTCTAAATAAAACTATCATAAACATTTTAACAATAGAAATAACTATTTATAGTCAGTTTGACTAATGCGGATCACTAATATAAGTATAATTCTATCAAATCTTATATTATTGCACATTACTACTAATTTTGAGCATTGATTAAAATGTAGCTAAATATTCTTCTAGTATAATAGTAACTAACCTCATGCAAAAAGACTATTTCGTTGTAATAGGAATTGTATAATATTGCAGTGACACAATGTGTGCGTTTACTACTACAACAACAAAAAAAATCACAATTAATGTTAAGCATGAAAGCGAGGCTAATTCTTTTGCTAAACATAAAACAATCACAAGTTCTATTCTAAAATGGAAGACGAAGCAAATTTTGTTGTCTCGAATAAAATACTCAAGCTAGTCAAGTATTTAATTATTTAAGTATGTTACGTTACATATTCTAAATTAAAAAATGATTACTAAAATTGCCTGTAAAAAAATCAATATTATTTGATAACTATATTGTCTAAAAGGACTGGAGCCATTTTCGCTTCAAAAATATGACATATAACCAAAAGCAACTTCATTAACAGAAATTCTGGTTACTTTATATTTATTTTTTTAATTATTTACAAAAGTACAAAACCTTTATACCAATTTCTTTCTTTATGGAATTAATAAATATGATATTTTTTATTTGAGCAATTAAACAGTAACGTTGTTATTCTACACTACGAAAAATATAAGTATGACATGTATTTTTGGAAAAAAATTGAAGATATCTATATATTTGGAAATGATTTTAACATCAATATCTTCCAGTATAGTGGGAAATATGTATACATAGTAAAATATCATGCACCTAAATAAGTATACTAGTTTTTTTCATTATTTCTGTGATACAGACATGCTAATATTTTAGAAGTAGGTATCCTCACAAATTGCTTGTTTTTTTTATACATGTCACCAGATTTGCATTATCACTAATTGTAGTTATGTGTCAGTGTTTAGTTTTAGGATTTAAATTTCTCATTATAATAAAAATATATTTTTTGACAATAGAACATGTATGTATTTAAAAATACACGAAGTTGTTTATGTGTTTTGCAAAGAAACGGGGTATAACTTCACGAGTTAAAAAATGAAATCAGACAAAATATATTAGTTTTAATATTTTTGTGTGTTTGCATTTTTAACATGTAATGTTACGTTCCTCCGAAATTAAACATAAATGTAAAACTATTGCATATATAAAGTTTAATGTTTATTTGTCAAAAATTTTTATATATTTTTCATTATCCGATAAATTATTACTTTACTTCCTTGATGTTAGTTTTCACTAGAAGGTTTTCAGTTAAAAGCGTGAGTTTATAAAATTACCGAAAAAAATATTTCAAATTAAGTATTTCAATGAATTAATTTAATTAAACTTTATTTGGTATATGTAATAACCAACCGATTTGTTTAAAAAATTAGTAAAAGCAATAATTGTTAACTACTTGAACAAGTTATTGGTTTATTGGAAGAATTAACATGAAAAATATAAAATGTTAACATCATGATTTAATAAAATTAATTTTTGGTAAGTTCAATTCTTAAAACCTTTCATTATTATGAATTAGGTCAATATTATCGATAATCTTCAATTTTTTTAAATGCGACATGTTAGCGATGAAATACAAATGTATAAAATATAACAGTATGCCATTCATATGATAATTTATACATTAAATCAATACTTTACTCACTACCTTCTAAAATTTTTTGAAACAAAAATGTTCCTCCAAATGATCTCAAGCAGTCTGCTTCTTAAAATATTCAAATCGCTATGATAAAACCTTTTAGGTGACTATAATCTAGTGATAATAAACTGATCTTGCATATATAAACAAATTTTAAAAACATAAATAATTTATGTCAACAAACAAAATATATTAATCTGTAATATATTAATTTAAATAATAACTATATATATCTATACATCCTATTATAGACATTTGATATGTGCAGATAAAAACTTACAATTATGTCAAATTTTACTTCCCTCTCAATCAGGAATTTTCCACCTAAAACTGCAAGACTGGTGCATAGTAACAAGTATTTTCAATAAATTTTAAATTATAATCTCCACATACTGATTTGGTGCAAAATTCTGTCTGGCTTTATCTGCCTCAGGTCTGGGCATTCCTTCGGCCATTAGCCTGGCGTCTATCGCTGGCATAGGTGCTATTTGGGGTAGAGCTACACATTCTGGTGGTATCTGAAAATAATCGTTACTTTCAAATAAATCCTAGTTGCACGTGTTAATCGAATGTAAGTCTGGACTATATTAATAACAATGAAAGAAATTAATTTATATTTTGAAATAAAAATTTTCTTGGAAAGTTTTGTGACCAAGACTTATTTCAGCTTTTCAAATGCACTGGAAATAACCTGATGAGGTAGGTACATTTGATTTTTATTAATATTTGAAAAACAACTGTATATCACTATAAATATTATTTTATATTTTAACTTGTTTTTTTAAAAACCTTAAAAAAATATGTACAAAAAAATAGCCGCACTAATATGATGAGATTGATGAGCTCTTTTATTTTTAGCCACAGATAACGGCAAAATTTAATTCTTCTGTTGTTTGCGATTTTTTATTGTGATCATTGTGATCAATTATAGATAAGTAAATAGCATCAGTAAAAATATTGAAGATTAAAATCAATTATAATTAGTATAAAATGGTTTTTAAATCAAAATCACTTTATATGGCAATAATCTTGATAAAATCTCAACACATTAAAATATATTATCTGTATCCTAAATAATTTTATCAATTAACTATATAAACAAAAGCTTTCTCATTTTATCTCTGTTTTAATCAAAATTATTATTTATTAAAAAAATAGATTTAATAAATATTTTCAATGTAGTAAGCTAATAAAAAAATATTACTTGCCTACTTATTACTTTTCAACATTAGGAACTACTTGGTAATTCCCTACACTATTTGTAAAAAAATACAGTATGCACCTCCTATTTTTTTCTTATCGAATTCAAATTATCAAGACAAAAAATACAGGCTGTTACAGATTCACTTCTCACTACAGGGATCTCGGAAACGGTAAGAGGTACGAAGTAGCTTAAATGGGGGCAAAGTTGTATAATCAAGGGACCAACATTATGCCTCTAAAAAATCAAGGCTAACATGATTAGTTTTCGAAATATTCGCAAAAACCCGAAATTTTGAAAATCCGTTTTGTTTCATTTCTGGCTTGTTTGGGTGATATTGAAAAAGAAGAACACTTTCTCATGGCAAATTTTTGCCCTCTATCAAATGGCATAATCAATTTTTATATGTAACATTTCGTCTCTCCAGGACAGTCATCAACTTCATTTTCTTAAATACGACCCTGGAAATTTTATTACATTTTTTGTAAGCCTTCATGGCCCCCAATACTGTATGCCTCAGCCCGAACCAGATTCAGACATTTTGTTTCGAAAAATTAATCTTCATGTATTCGTTCCAAATTTGTAACAGCCTGTATACACTATGTTTTATAAGCACATTCTTTAATTTAACTGGCCAATTTATACCAAAAATCTTTAATCAATCAAGGGTCTAAATAAAGCCTCTGGTTTTTGCAGTACAGGGTGTTGAAGACATATACACATAATAAGTTTTTAAAAAATATACTTATGCAATTCATTATTTAATGATCTAATTTGGAATTTGAAATATTCTGTTTGTTCGTTTGGTTACTAATGTATATGAAAAATATCACAGGGTATTCTATTAAAAAAGAACTGCTTTGTAGTAACAAAAATTTTTCTCTTTCTTTAGTACTACATTTCTTCTTAAATATGAAATTAAAAGAGACGAGGGAGAATATATCTGGTAGGTACATAATTTTCAAACATCCTAAGAGATAATATATTATATAAATGTTATATTCATTCACATCCTCTTGTGTGTATACTCTGCATATTAATACTTTTTTATCTAAAATATCCCAGTGAAATATAGTAGCGGCTAGCCAGGTGACGCAAGTGACGCACCGCTTCACCTAAAATTTCCGTTTGAAAATTATTTTTAATTTTATATAAATTTTATAATTTAGGTATAATTCTATATTGAAAATGTATTGTCTTTGTTTTATACGCAGAAATAAACAGAATAGTTATGCGGCGACTGCCTGCTAAAAAAAACATTGCCTTCATTGAGCATGAACATCACCCTCGTACAATATAACGTATAGCATAAGCAAGTAACGCGGATCAAAATCAGTCTGTATTTTGCTTCACTCTGTAGCGTTGTATTCTTCGGTTATCATGACAACGAGGCGGCCAACACGTGAGTAAACTACGGCATGGGGGAACGAGTGACGGGGAAATTGAAGCAGCATCGCCATCGCCAATCGCTTGCCTTTACTTTAAACAGTTTATACCAGGGGTCGGCAAACCGCGGCTCGTGAGCCGCATGCGGCTCTTTTAAGGGACAATTGCGGCTCTTCAAGTTCCCCTAAAAATTAAATGATAAAGCGGACAGACACGCAGTACATGAGTACACAGAAAGACGCGTATAGACTTCTGTATCCAATTCAAATTTGAAATAAAATGTAAGAACAGAAATAAAAATTCGTGGCTTTTTGAAATTCATGAAATTGATATTTTTATTGTAGATGGCTCTTCAGGCTTAAAAGATCGCCAACCCCTGGTTTATACGATACGTCGCCCAGTGCACGATTACAACGGTTCTTTGTTAATATTTGTTTTGTATCAATAATTGTAGAAATGTTTCCTATGTATGATCCAGTTTGTATTGCATTGGAAAAGCCATTATACAGAGGAAAAATGAAAAGGATTTTTCAAATTGCGAGAGACCCTGTGCCTTCTCTCGATGTTGAAGAATGGGGGAAGTCAAAAGACAAAGTGTACGTTCGGAAGTTTCGGAATGAATGGTATTCGGAGTATGTGGTTGTGTGGAGGTGTTTATTTAAAAAAACTTTTCTGTATCCCGTGTTTAATTGTTTTTCTATTTTTTATAAAATCCAAACGAAAATCCTTATCGTGAACCTCAGTTCTTCGGTAATATTGCAAATTAAACTAAAAATTTCCAGATTCATTTAAAGCCATTTGACTTTGAAAATTTTCTTTTCTTTTTATTCAATCAATGAATATGCTTCACCTATTCTGAATGTTACAAGCCACCACTGGTGAAATATCTTACTTATTTTTATACTAACCATTTGCTGTTGAGGCTGCTGTGGTGGCAAGGCTCCAGGTGGGGGCATGGTAGGGTAATAATTTGTTGGAGAAACTGGAGGGCTCGGATATGGCCAATAAAATATGGGTGGTGGCAAGAACTGTCTTGGAGGACCAATTGGAGCGGCAGCTAACTGTACTGGAGCATAACCAGAGAAGTTTGGTCCAGGGTGGAACGGTGGTGTTGGTAAGATATTACCGCCTACAGGAAATAAAATTAAAAATATTATTTGATTGAATATTGAATAGTAACAGCAAATTATCATCAATATTGTAAATATATATATCTATATACCATTACTTTCCAAATATGTAAGCTAGAAGCATAATGCAATAAATTTTCTTAAATACATTTGATTAAACTATATTAATCCAATGAAGTTTATAAAGTGTTGCCCAATGCTATTTCTATTTGGTTGTTTAATGTTGTAAATAACAGTGTCCAGATGATGTTAGTAATGGTCTTTGTAATTGATAAAGAAAATTATTTCTTTATTCTTTAAAAATCAGAGTAACCAAATCTTAGATCTTGAAAAGGACTACTTTTTATTTTCTGCAAAACTAATATTTCTTTATGGTGATTCATATTTATTATCTGAATTGGACATTAACATTCCATTGTTTATAACGCTGCAACTTAAAAAAAATTAAAATTTAGTGAAGTCAGAAAAAAACCTGTATAAAAGAAAATTATTTTCTATATACAGGGTGTCCAGAAAGGTCATGTCAAAAATTAAGGGGTATACAGGGGAGGTCAAAATAGATGTAGTTCTTCATACAAAATTTTATCCTATCGGGCTTCATTGTGGAGTTATTCACCTTCAAAGAAAGAAGTTTGGAAAACAAATTCCAATGATAACTTCTAAGTCGTTACCATGACAACAATGAAATTTGGGCAATTAAAGTAACTCATGGTAATGTTCATTTTCAAGTTTAAAATGATATTCAATATGCCTGGATTATACAGGAGCAGACGAAATTATTCATTTAAATTTATACATCTTTTACAGCATTGCCAAATTTGACATTTTTCTTTCATAGTTCGATTCATATTGAATATCAGTCTATATGTGGAAATGAACATTATTATGAGTTACTTTAAATCCCCAAATTTCATTATTGTCATGGTAACGAGTTAAGTGATATTTGGAATTAGTTTTTCAAACTGCTTTCTTTGAAGGCGAATAACTCCACAATGAAGCTCGATAGGAAAAAATTTTATATGAAGTACTACATCTATTTTGACCTCCTCTATATACCCCTTAATTTTTGACATGACCTCTCCGGACACCCTGTATATGTGCAACTCTTTTTGAGACCTCAGGGGCGACTATGCCTAGTTTTTGTATTTTGTAAATTTAGTTTTTTGCTAGAAATCGTCCCCTAAAAATCTGTAATCGATCAAAGTATAACCACTTTAATTTGCACGAGTTGTCACTGATTCATAAGTGTTGTCTTATTTGTTGCATGAATCATTGTACTTCTGTACACAAAGTTATTAGAAATATTTTTCGTTGATTAAAAAGAAGTAATTAACAATAAACAAATTATCAGATACAAAATATTCTAAGAAATGAAAATAAAACACTTTAAAAAAGGATGTATATTTGTATACAATGTTATCAATAACTCTTTAGATATAAAAGGCGATATCTATGATTTACATTATTTATGTGATGCAATGGATCTATACTATATTTTTCTTTTGATGTGAAGTAATATATAAATATTACTTAATATATAAATACTTCTTCAGGTTTATGCAAGGTACTACGATTTCATGTAATAATGATAAGAATATATATCACTTACTTCTTTGTAGCACTAAAATAAATACGAAACAAGACGTTTAAAAATCTAGGTGGCATTTTTTAAAATTTACTCGCATTTGCATTATTATTTGTTATACTACACGAATGTAGGTATTTGAAAAACATGTTAAAATCTTAAGTTAATCATTGGTGTATAAATTTCTTTTTAACTGATTAAGTTCTTACGTTCTCTTATGTGGAAGTTTACGCATAGTGACAAATATACAAAATGCAAAAAGCATCATTAGTGGGTAAGTGAAATGTTTAGTGTGTATGTGTTTTGAAAATAGTTATTTATGAAATACCTAATATGTGATGGGAGTATAATTTGAACAACTTGTAAGAAAAAAAATTGTTTAATTTGTTTTTCATAATTAATTATTTTAAAATAATAAAAATATAGATATTCGTTTTCAAGAAAATGTCTAGGTCTACTTTTAACACCATTGATAAAAATATTATAATTCATAATCCATAAAATATAAAATTTTAGCAATGTCCTTTGAAAATAAATTAATGTAATGAATTTTAAACCTTAAAAAGGAAATTTTTATACATAATTTTCATGTCTCTTAGATTTGCTCTCAGTTTATTTCATTTTATGATTGAAAATTATTTATAATACATATCTTCTTTTTCCGATTAGTTACATATTCATTAAAAAGTTATAAATTCTTAATTGTTAATTGTTGCCGATTTTCTATTTTCTAGTATATCAATTGAAGGTATTTCAATAACTTAGCTTTATACATACAAATTTCGCTGAACGTTTCAGGTGTTGCTTATCTTTACAGGAATTTGAAGATACTCGACAAATGCAAGTTACATTGAATATCATTAAATAAAAATATATCGTTAAAAGAAATTAAAATTTCTGAAAATGGACGGACAATATAAGGAGTGTTTAATGAATACATCATATGATATATTCGATATTCTGAGAAGTATGTTATTCTAAGGCAAAATAAGTATAAATAGACTCACCACAGTGTAGCACAGTTTTACCTTTCCACCATATGGCGGCAGCAGACACCACGAACGACTCCAATCCCGGGAATAACCAATTATACTAGCCCATATGGTTTTACATTGCTCACTTTTATTATTAATTTGATCAAAGAACATATAAACGTTTAACTTTAACAATGTAAATTTTTTTGTAGGTGACAGATTGGAACTGGCAGCGACAGAATAACACATTGGATTACACAAGAAACTGGAACAGGAGTATAGTATAGTGTGTTAAAATGTGCTAGCAATAATATACTCGACGCTCAAATTGAAAGAAATGTACTTACAATTAGAACAAAAATAAAAAAGATTTGGGTTTATTTGTACAAAAAAATATATATAAAAAGAAACATGCAAAACAGTATTTATTTAAACTGTTTTGCTGAGTTGTAGTTTTTTCTTATCTTTGGTGAATATTAAGGCACTATTTTCTTTTATTCCTTTGTTTTCCTGTTCCATTTTCCCAAATAATTATAAACAAAAAATGTTTATAATTTGTAACAAAGCTATTTGAATTACTTTCAATTGCGTTGCAAACTTTTACTTGCAGTTACTATTTTATTTCATATCTTTATGTTTGTCTACGGAAAAAAAATGTTTTATGGCGCGAAGACTAATATATAAGCGACAAATTTTTGTCATTATCTGTGAAAGATTTGACAAATTGTATAAACAATAAAGCAAATTAAGTATTGTTTTATAAAATACTTATGCTGAAATTATTTACGTCCACAGAGATAAAACATTTACAGAACGTGTAATTTAGTATTTTACTGTAATCTTCCTAAATAATGTAACTATCCAAGTGTTAGGCTGCAAGATGAAAACCATATTTCTGTTTAAAAGTGAGCATTGTATTTTAGCAAGGAAACTAACAACAAACCCAAAGCATTATTGTGACAAACATTTATTAATAAAGTGTAAATAATTAGAACATAATTGTAATGAAGTAAAGAGCTGCATACAGTACAGAAATATAAGTGATCAAGAGTTATATTATTCACTTTATAGTGCAGTAAATAAAAGCAACCTAAAAATGACACCACCTTCAGATTTGATATTCAATTATCTAATAGTGTAGTTCTAATTTTGCTAAGTAAAGAATTACAATTAAAAAAGAAGAAATTCCTCACAAATTCTGGAGGGTTGGTTTTGCCATAGCATGGTTTCATGTTCCCTTACATGTTTTTTTTTGTAAAAATTCACAACTAAATGAAAAATTATAACAGAATTTTATCCATACATGAAATTAAGTATATTTTCAGTCGATCGTTTCAGAGATTCATTATTGAAAACGTTTTTCTTTAAATTTGTTTAAGTTAAAGAGCTGCTCGATAGTTAATTAAATTCTTTTAAAAATCAATATATTTTTTATCTATTCCCATTTAGATGACAATAAAGTAAATATAGATTATATTTGTTTTCTACAACTTTTACTGCGTAACAACAGAATAATGTACTACCTTACCGTTACATGTTTGTTATTACATCTTTAAAGTAACGTATCATGTTTACACTGCAATTGAAAAAATTAAAAAAATATTTCTATATCAAAACAAGCCATTAAAAATTTTTCTGGGAGACTTAAGAATAAACTGAATCAAAAGTTTATAATATAGCAGTATAGTAGTAACTGTTTGAATTCACAATATGAAGCAAAAGGGTCATTCTAAAAATCTTTTGTGGAGGAAATATATGAGAGAAATAAAAATTAGTAGGTAATTTGTATGACCTATTGTCTAAAGATCATTGATAACTTAACAATATTCAATTTCTAGCACAGATTATGCTATCATTTTCAATATTTAGATTATCAAGAACCTTAAAAGGATTCTACATTTTTCTGGTCTATTTTTCTTAACTTTCAAGTATAAGTTGCTAAAAGCAAATTGGTTATTTTTAATTCTCGTTTCACAATTTTCATGGTATTTTTTTAAACACCCCGTATATATTTTTAAATTATTTATGGAAGGTAAACAAAAGATACGAAGACATAGAAAATATTTTAGATTTGTAAGTGATATACTAATTTATATGTATACATACAATTTTTAAATTGTGCAGCTTCTTTTAATGTCAAGAATAGAACATTGAATAATAATTTACCCTTTTTGTACGAAATTAAGTAGATGGCATAGATTAATTTGAGATAAACCAAGGTTATCAGGTCCAAAACCAACCACCAGTGCAAGGCTGTCCAGAAATTATGATTTCAGTTTGAACATGATTTTTGTCGTCAGTTGACTTACCTAGCAGAAAATAAGAATTACACCCACTAGAAGTCCCTTACAACCAAAGCTAATGATATTTTTGTCATGCATATTGGTCAAACCATTTCCATTTCTATTAATTTCAAGTGAGGAAAACTTCTCCAAGATCACCACCATATCAGAGTAGAAGATAGTGTGATTTTTAAGGATTTACTCACTATTATTTCTGGCATTTTATTTACCGTACTATTATTCAATCAGAACCTTCGCTAGACGATGAATAAGGCTTGGTAGACTATGCTTTTTGGCATGCTTTACCGCATAAAAGTATTCACCAAACTGCAGTTAGTAGGTACTAAAAACATTTTCCGAAACTTATGTGACTCGTAATAGTTTCTTGGGTTAGTAGTCACATTCGTAAACAACCTTTCACACCAAATATATAATTAGATCAGTTTCATCACGTTTTTCATAGCATACATTTTCTTTCTAGTGCAGGTAATAGTAGCAGAAAACATGAAAAATCATTGGTACAGTCTATTGAACTTGTTTTTCTTCTTTTATATTCCAGTTTTAAGAATTGATATTGGTTCTCCTTACCGAATGATTAATTTTCTTATAAATCTTAATTTGTCTTAATAGTTTATATATAAAATGAGACCCAATGATATATTTTTCTGTCAAACTGCCTTTATACCGAAAATTTCTGAAAATTGGGCATGTATATATGTTTTATATAGAAAGACATATTGCAATAACACATTTCATATATAAAATAAAATAATTGTGTTGTTAATGTTGCTTTTTCATTATTAGTTAAGGAAAATGAAGAAAAGCAAAGCTGTACCACTAACTTTCAGTAACACACCCTCTTCTTAATACCAGTGATTGAATGAGATACAGTACTTACCCTATGTGAAAAATGTCAATATTAAGAAACAGAAAGAAAATGTGAAATATTATATGTGCAAAACTGAACACTAAAATAAAAAAACATTTTTTCTATTTTAATTGTAATTAACAATCAAAAATGATCAACCTAGAAAAATTTGCTTAGTAAATTTGGCAGAAATTTATTAAAAATACATATAATATGCTTAGCGGTGGTGGCTGGTGAAAATTAAAGTAGTCATATTTTGATAATAAAGCATGGGACCTATACTTTTTCATGACAACAAAAATTCGAATGAATTTTCAAAATGATCGAAGAATTAAAATAGGGGTTGCCGAACCCGTGAGCTCAAAAAGGTTTGTGAATATCTTTTTTTCTTAACCAAATGGTAGAAATAAACATACGTTTTTTACACTTCTGACAAAATTAAATTCTTTTGTAGTTATATACAGAGGATTCCGAAATTAATGCAACAAAATTTGATCGCAGATTCTCATGACAAAGAGAGACTGCAAAAATTGCCCATTTTTTCACAATTCGCAGAGAACTAAAGAAAATAGATAAAAATATGTTTTTGGTCTCAAATTACTTGTAAAAAATTAAGATGAGCATAGCTTTTAGTTTTTTGAAAAGTTTCAAAAATCACCCCTATTTAAGGGTTGAAAAGACCCTCAAAATAAAGAATTGAATATTACCAATAAATAAATATAAAAACTATTAGCATGTGAATTTTTCTATCGAATGATTCTTGATACAAAGAAAGATGTATGCTCATGACTGAAATAAGCATGTTGAATTAGAAAATCCACCCATAAGCACGCTCAGGGGGTGGAATCATCCCCAAAAATAGAGAATATCAGAAATAATTGTAAAAATTCCAAAAAAATATATTAAGATAATTCACATGATAATAGTTTTTATATCAATTGGTAATAATCAAATTTTTCATTTTTGGCATTTTTTCAACCCCTAAGTCACCCCTGATTTTTAAAATTTTCCAAATATTAAAAGCTGTGCTCATTTCAGTTTTTTACGACAAGTAATTTCCGACCAAAAACATATGTTCATGTATTTTTCTTAATTCTCTGCGAATTGTGAAAAAACGGGCAAAAATCACAGGTTTTTTGCGGACACTCTATAGGGGACCCGTATTTTTAATTTTTGCAAAGTGGCCCCCTCTTTCGGAGTTACAGCCCCCTGAAATTCGACCCTAAGAATGATTTTTTTTTTTATATCTCAGGACCCTGTTGTATAAGAATCACCAAATTTGGAACACAGGGGTTTTATGACATGCGGAATCTGATGGTGCTAAGCTTTTTGGCGGGGAAACCCTTTAAGACAATTTTTCATGGGCCCCTGTCTTTGGAGCCAAAAAAATTTGGTCGCATACTTAAATTTCTTCAAAATTATTAGTCCACTAGAAAGTCATTAAATTAAAAACTTTTTTTGTCTCTTGACACTTTTTTCGTAAAACGCAATGTTTCCGAGAAAAATGTCAAGATGTGATCGAATGCATATCGTGATTCACCATTTTCCTAAAAAACATTGCGTTTTACAAAAAAATATCATAGACAAAGAAGTTTCTAAATTCAATGGCTTTCTAGCTAACTAATAATTTTTAAGAAATTCAAATTTGCAACCAAATTTTTTTACTTCCAAAGACAAGGGGCCCATGAAAAATTGTCTTAAAGGGTTTCCCCACAAAAAAGCGTAGCACTGTCATATTCCACATGTCATAAAACCCTTGTGTACTAAATTTAGTGATTCTCGTACAACAGGGTTCTGAGATATATCTCAAAAAAGACAGGAGCAGATTTCAGGCACGAAAAAGTATCTTAAAGGAGTTCCCCGCCAAAAAGCGTAGCACCATCAGATTCCACATGTCATAAAACCCCTGTGTACCAAATTTAGTGATTCTCGTACAACAAGGTTCTGAGATATAAAGAAGACTATTTTTAGGGGCTCCAAAAGAGGGGGCCACTTGGCAAAAAGAAAAAATACGGGTCCCCTAAATTTGTCTTGAGAATCTATGACCAAATTTTGTTGCATTAATTTTGGGACACACTGTATATTTAAATTTTAATTTGATACTACATTCTATTTTTCCACCTTCTCAATGGTGCAACTTTATTAAAAATTAAAATTTTGAGAAAAATAAAAAACCGTTATTTATTTATAAATTGATTAAGTATTTTGCAAGTATATGTCAACCCTTTTTTAGGTCCCATAGTCTGTAATCCCCAATTTCATTTTTTATTTTCCAAAGTTTTCCCAAAATCTTTTCGTCATTAACTTTCTCTTTCTCCCTAAATTTCCCTAAAAAAAATTGCAGGGTCCCACGTTTGATTATTAAGACATAACTACCTTAACTTTTACCTGCTTGTGCTTTGTATTCACTGCAAGTATATTCTATTTGATTTTTGAATATTTTGAAAACCGTATACCAACAGTTTAAAACCTGTTCAATTTTGCACTTAAGTTCCCAAAGAGGAAAACCATTCACCAAAACCATTCGGATTAATTAAATGAAAAAAAGCAGACACCAAATCGTATTCAAAGATCTAGCGAAAGCTATGCAGAGGCTTATTCTAAACCTACAATGAGCACATTTTATTCACTTCAAAAAAAATATGCCAACGCAAAAAAAAGAATATGAAGTGAATAGCTGTGCTAAGACATATCTATTACTAAATAAACTAAAAAATTCCCAATATATAAATAAAAATTTTAATGATTACACCAATGATTTTGTACAATGTTTCTTAGTTCTACTTAAAAAAAAAAACTAAATAAAAGTATAACCCATCGCCCTCTATTGACAACATTGACAAACAGAAGTGCTCAACTAAGGACAACTTAGTACGATTATTATAAAATATATAATTAATATATAAACAGTTGCCTTTAGTTCGAATAACAAAATCCTATACCATAGTTTAAACAACAAATACCCAATCCAATCTATTATTAGTCGCAGACATTTTTGTTATAACAAAAGCCTTAAACATAAAAAAGGGATCAGTGTATTAAAAATATATATTAAATTGTATACCATTTAAAAAAATGTTCGTAAACAACAAGATATGTAAAATAGCAACAATTTTGGAATGTTTTCTCATCACATAGTTTTACGATACAGTCTTTATGGCTTCAACTGCCCCGTCTTTCAGGACTGTACACAAAAATAATCGACAAGGCTTTTGTGCACTACCTGACTTTTCAACAAAACAATAGTCCCAGAATTCGTTCCAAATAACTACCCAGCTTATTCAACTCATCCTACAGATGTAAGTACAATATCTTATGGAGTATATATTTGGGAAAATCCCTTAACTTTATAAAAAATGAGCTGCATTGATCACATATAGTTATCCAAACATTAAGTACCTTATAGCACAATAATCACATCATTTCCCATTATTGTCGTTTGCCTGACGTAAACTCAAATATATATACACTTTCCAAATCCATATTTAATTTTCATTATTAAGGCACTATTTTCAGTAAAAAATATGTACAAATATATATAAATAAATTTATATACAATTGAATTCAATTTTAAAGCTTCAAATAGCTTTTATATCTCGATAAATAAAATTAACTAATATCATTTAAAATTCAAGAATGTCGATTAATAACTTTTTCAGTTTAATTAAATAATATGCTTTGTTACTTTTTAAATTTAAATCTAGAGTATTGTAATACGGATTCTGTCGTTATTACAAAGTATCTTATTTTAATGGTTTAGTAGCAACTTTTGTTAAAACTACTAAAGTATTTCCGTTAATGTCCAGTAACTAAATATTAGCAAGTATATTTGCTATTTTGATATAATTATCCAAAAATATTTTGAATTTCAATACTAATTTAAAAAATATATTCTTCTCTAAAGAACAAAACTAAACTTCATAGCTATAAGTACTAAATTTAATAATTAGATAAATTAAATTAAGAAAAAACTATTATGTATTTTCAACTTAATAAATGTAATATTAAAAACTACATTTCAACGTAAAAAAATAACGCAATAATAAGAATTTCTTGCGTTGCGAACTTTGCAACATTTCAAAAAGAAAAATTATATTAAATTACACAGACCAACAGAATTTAACTTTTTTTTGGAAGCAGAAACTTGAATATATATTTCCGAAGGATTTAGGTGCGCTGAATCCGAATCTGGCAGCAGAATTGTTCTATCACGTCAGGTTTTTGAGATATCCTAACCTAAAATTGCAAAAAACACTGTTTTTCGTCATATTTGAGGTTATGTAGTAATGCCATCTATTCTTTTTTAAAAAACTAATACATTGAATCTAGAAGTACAAGGCTCCCTCCTTCGAATGCCGTTGAGTTTGCTCAAATATCTTTTTTTTTCGTTGAGATATCACGTCACAGTTTCTTAATATGCGAAAATCTACTAAGGACCTCTTAGACATCAAGCAGTTGATTGCAATTCAGAAACATCATGCCCATACGGTTTGTGGGTTTGGAGTTGGTGGGCTTGGGGTTTGTAAGCTTGGAGTTTGTAGGTGCGGGTTTTGTGGGATTGGGGTTTGTGGGTTTGAGTTCGTATGTATTAAAGGTTCTGAGTATGAAGTTTCTGAACTGCAATCAACTGTTTGACGTCTAAGGGATCCTTGGTAGATTTTCGCATATTAAGAAACTGATAAACTTAGAAATTTTAACATGTGATTTCTCAACGAAAAAAAAAAAGATTTTGAACAAACTCAACGGCATTCGAAAGAGGGAGCCTTGTACTTTTAAATTATATGTATTTTTTTTAAAAAAGAATAGATGGCATTACTACATAACCTCAAATGACGAAAAACAGTGTTTTTTACACTTTTAGGTTAGGATATCTCAAAAACCTGACATGATAGAGCAATTCTGCCAGATTCGGATTCAGCGCACCAAAATACTTCGGGAATGCATATTAGTGTGTCTGCTTCTTGACCCTTGTTGACCTGTGTTATTAATAGAATTGATGTCAATAAGATCACTAATTTCTGACAACTCAGTAGACAATTACTGAAATAGTTCATTGTACGTACAACGAAAACAAGATGAGAATGGCTGTTCGAGTTAATTGTGCAATTACTAGCAACAAAACGCATCACATCTCCGGATAATATTTCGGATTTTTTAAATATCTGTATTCAGTTGCTTTTACCTCCAGCACATTCTTGGTTTAAAGAGTGTTTTCCTCAATTTTAAGAGAGAGCGTTTGTGTATTTACATGTTAGGATAAAAATGCGGGTAAACAGGCAAAGAACCCGGAGCAGTGTGAAAAGGTCTCTTAGCCGGAGGTGATTGATCACTGAAAGCATCTCCGTAGCTCCTTTTCACTGCTACATGCGGCATAACCGGTATAACCCCAGGAGTTTGCCCCTGAACTAAATGCGGGTAAGTTAAAGTGGGTGGTCTCTGCAAAGCTATAGGCATACGAGGCTGCAACATCATAAACGGATGATGAGGTATCAAATGCGGCATTATGGGCACTGCGGCTTGGGTTTTTAACATGGGCTGGGAGGATATCGTTCCCGATTGACTCCCGTTAGGAGACAAAGAGCCAACGTTTTGATTAAACATTGCAAAGTTGTGCTGAGCAATCTGATTCATTAGAATCATTTCGTTCTGGGCATGCGCTTGATTCTGACGGGCAATTAGATTGTGCTGCGCGATTATCTGTGCTTGTTGTTGAGCAAAAAGAGCTGGGTTGTCCCAGGTAATCTGGGCCTGCTGGCTGGCGGTTACCAAATTCTGGGATATTGAGGTAACAGCAGCAGTGTGTGGGGGAGGTGGTGGCGGTATATTAGTAGGTGGGAGAGGCGCAATTGGAGGTAACATACCGGGGCTGAGTAGAGCTGGTGCGGCTTTAGTTGGTGAGACGGAGGTGGGGATGCCACCGGTCAGTACGAGATTCATGTCTTCCCCGGAACACTGGAACACTTCGATGTACCTCTGCTTCTTTCCGAATATCATGTAACGGTGGTGTTTCTGTTGCGCTGTTATGAATGCCGATTGCTCAGAGTCCATTTGGATAAATGCTTCCCCACTAGGCTGCCCCTGTAAAGATATTTATTTATGCATATGTACAGGGTGTATCCTATAACATCCTCAGAATCGCAAACCTGAGTATACGATTTTTTTAGTCTTAATTTCTGAGAAATTGCAGTAACAATTTTTTTTTCCCAAATAACATGATCTTTCTTATATCTTCGATAAATACAGTGAAATTAAGACACATTTTGGTGGAATCAATGCTCAATTGAAACAAGTTAAGAAAAAATAAATGAAAATATTTTCATCCCTATTTTAGGGGTGGAAATTCTGAAATATAAGTTAGATGCATTTAAAATGCATCTAACTTATATTTCAGAATCATCCCCTATCTCAGAAGTGGCTTTTATTTTCCTCTAGTTCAATGAAAGACATATACATTGAAAAAAAGAAAAAATGTAACAAAAATTTCAATTAAAGTGTTTATCGTCAATGAGCACAAAACCTATCAGCATTTAGTTCATCATCCCCTCTTCTAAGGTAGGAAATGAATCAAGCAAATTGCCATTTCCCTTAAGTAAAGGATAATGAAATATCACCCTGAAATTTGCAGATGATAAGAAAATGGTCTACCATGTTATTTAAGATCAGAGATTTGAAAGACTCATAATATTTCAGATGAATTTTATTATTCAATCCCCCACCCCTCAGTTCTTCCCCTAAATCAGGGGATGATAAAAACAGCTCTTGAAAAAAAGTTTTTTGTTTCAGTGATGCTTTTTATTTGTGTTCAGCGACAACACTTTTATGCATATTTTCTTTCATTTTCATTTTTCCACATCCTCACCCCTCACTTCTACCCCTAAAATAGGGGATGATGACATTCACAATAATTTTCCTTAAATCTGCATCAAATAAGCTTTAATTTAAAAAAAAAATGTAAAACAATTCGTTAATTTTTCTTCAAGATATTTGATTTTGACAAAAAAATTCTAGCAACAGTGGTAGATATGTAGTATCCGGTCACGTCGCAGCGTATCAGTTATATGTTTTTTGTTCTTTCTTTAGCGACGAGATTTTTCCTGTGTCTAGTTGCAGGAATACGGAAACTTTTCAGGTAGATTTGTAATTAAAAATACTACATAGCCTTCATCAATGATTACAAGCCACGTGACCAGTAAAAACCAATTAAGTACCAATTAAATTTTGGTAAAATTAAAAATTATTAAAACAGTAATATCAAGATTACATTAAAACACAAAATTTTGTTTCACCGGTTGATGATTGCTGCAATTTTTCACAAGATTTTATTCAACCAATCAGCGATCGCATTATCTCGAGTGTAGACGCAACAGTTTGTCATTGTTCACTGTAAATGTGTAATTAATATTGATAAGCTAAGATTTAGGAATTTTTAGTTAACAGTACCAGTCGTGCATTGTTGGGTTGCCTGAGCTCAGTGGTCACGTGGCTTGTAAACAATTATGAAGGTTTTGTATATGACATATACGAGGTTAGGCTAAAATTACTATATGTAAAATTAATTTCCGCTGCATTAAAGAAATGACAAACTATCTCAAACAAACAAATAAACTAGGTACTAATTAAAAATCTCTAATGTGTCCCTATATCATTTTCTACATAAAACATAGTTTTTTCTCTTAAAAAATAGTTTTAGGAATCTTCCTAAATCGATGTTCAATTGATACATAAATCTTCTGGTTTAAATATATATATCGGTAAATAAAAAGGCAACTATGGATTATCTTGAACAGTTATAAATTGAGGCACACTGTATATATACTTTAGTATAAAGAAATATATTTATAAAATGACGGAAATTAAAAAACCCACCTGAGCGTTGTACACCATGTGGACACCTTGGAAAACGATATTTTTGGCGTAATCTCCCAAAAAGTCCAGTATGTGTTCAACTTGGGCTTCATAGGGCAGTCCTCTTAACCTAATACAGTCTTTTCGGGTCCCAGAAGTAATAATGTGTTGTGGCAGCAAAGCCAATTGGGGTAGTTGAGGGATTAACGGTGCCGGAGTTTCAAAATTTTTAGGATCTAACGACCTATTCAAGACCTGCAACAGTATATAGAAATCTTTCAATGAAATAGTTTTAGAAATCTTATTCTTATAAATGAAAAGATTATTGAAAAATTGGTAATTTGTGACAAAAATTTGTAAAAGTAATTTTTTTGTTCTTGTGATGAGCTTGTTAATTTTTCATAAATGAAAATACGTTATAGATTATTTTTTAACTGAGCAGATTATTATTATTAATAAGAATGTATAATTGGAATACGGCAAGGAAAAAGAAAACGGTCTTAGTTTTCTGACTAAACCATAATAATTATTATTATCGTTTCTCAAAATGTTAAATTTCTGCTCAAAAATTTATCATTAACAGCAACGATTAATATGATCTATAACATCTATTATTTATGCGTTTCTTAATTAGCGCAGTGTATTACTAAGTTCTAAGGGTAAAATAAATTACTATATTTCTAATCATTTCTTAATATTTCTGTATGTTTGAAAACAAGCTGATTTTTTTACTCCATCCGTGAATACATTGATAAGTTTGAATTTTCATATGATTTTTAAAAGGTAAAATACTTTTATAATATTCGAAATCTTTTCTGAATTTAAAGTAATGCAGACAATATTTTTTCCACTTTTGATATAAGTAGTTCTAAACTTTAAAGAAAATGTACCTATATGGCAGAATATTTAAAAATATCCAACATAAAATGATATTAATCAAACTGCAAAATGGGAACAATAGATTGCATAACTGAGTTAGACTAAGATGGTTTTATAAAGGATGGTGGCAACAATGCTGTACAACATTTTGATTGGTGTCGCAATTTGACGCTGAGTGACAGAAACTAATATTTAAACTCAATATTTTGAATAACTTTTTACAAAAAGCTGTTGACAAATTTTTTTTTGCTGAACATTTTTAGAATAATGTGTTTTTTCTTTCTGTCAAATCATCTTTTAAATCAGTCAAATGTAAAACCTATCAAATTTCCATTTAACGTCCACTGAGCTATTGGGCGGGATTTTCAGCCTTTATTGTGCACATTACAAAGGGACATCTACCTTGCAACTACGCAACCAATAAGTTTCAAATGAAATCAGTTTGTTGCAAACATCAATTTAAACTTTTTTGAGTCACTGAAATGGATATCGTATTATTGTTTTGCCTATCCATAGAATTGATTCTCTTTTCTGAATTTAGCCATGTTAGATTTCCTTCGGTATCTAAAATGAACCTGGCAGCTGATGATTTTTCTCAGATGAAGAACTGATTACAATAGTAAATTATTACTCTGGAAATTTTTAAGAAAACAGTTTCCAGGATGGCATATCGTTCGATCAGGCACACATGAGTTCAATAAATCTATATTGCAATACATAAAAGTGTAAAATAAAAACAAAAATATTCTTTCATAGTTGGATAATTTTTTCAAATTAAATTGGTACACCATTTACAAAATTAAAGAACATTATTTTATTCTTAGAAAATTGTTTATAAAATATAGTTGAAAGTAGTGTAACAGAGTGAGATATTTTATGCAATATTGTCTAAAAAAAAAATGCTGCTACAGCATCTATTATATTATTAATTATTATTATTAGAATAATTATTAAAGACTAACATTAAGTGACTTACCTGCTGAACTTCAGCCGTGGTAGATCTAAACAGTTCAATGTATCTGGAACCAATACATTCCCTGTGTTTGGAGAGAGCTTTAGGAGAGTCAGATTCACTGGCAAAAAGTACAAAGGCATCACCTGTGGCTCTGCCATCAGGCTTCCTCACAAAGAGAACCCCATCGTTCCCATCCAATACAGAACAGGAATTTTCTCCAGATGCAAAGAAATCCAGCTGAAAAACGTTAGTTATAAAAGTAACAAATACGTTACAGAACATAGGACCATATAGAAATTTATATTAATATACATATAGTTCATAAGAACCAAGACAATTTAAAATGCTCAGATTTTAGTTGATGGAAAAATATAAGATTAAAGTATTAGCCAGTCTCTGTATGTTTTAGTATGATCAAATATATCTGTCTGGCCTTTTAAGTAATCTATTATCATAGTGGTTGATTTTATAAACTTAATTTTGCTTAACCAGAAATATGCCACACTAAAAAAAGTAAATAATTGTTCAAAACTACGCTATTTAAAGACCTCTGTCATTTTATCGAAACTAATGATATTTTCTTTCGCAACGACAATTTTTTTACCATGCTTTAAGTGAGCATAGAAATCAACCCTTTAAAAATTATATGACGAGTACCACGTTTCACCATCAATATATGGTCACTTTAATTTTTACTAATTATCACTGCTTCAATATAAGTACAGGTATCTTAAAAGTCAACGTTAGAATTAGTAGATACTTACCGGATACCCTGTATGGACATTTATACTTCCAAAAATTAATTTTTAAATAAATTTTGATGGACACACAAAATTGTTACTTGCAAAATGCGATTAGGAATGATACAGCAAAAAATTGCTGTTAAATTTAAAATAATAAAAACAAAACCAGATTTTACTTGTTTTACCACTTTCTTTCTTCTGATTTTTCTGCACTCTCCCTAACATCAGAGATATTTCGGAGTACTGACTATAGGCATAATTGTCGTAATATCCTTAAATATAGACTATTGCAAATTTGAGTCTTACAACTTGCTTGGAAGTAGAGGTGACTGGGGAAAATTAAAGTAGTTGTATTTTGATGTGATAGAATTGCAAATTTTTGAAATGTTTTCATCACGAAACTTCTCTATGAGGGCTTAGAAATTATTTACTAAAAACTGTATGGGTCCCAAGTTTTATTTTCAAAATATGACAACTTAAATTTCAAGCAGCCGCTACTGCTTAGAAATGATAATAAAAAATGTTGACTATTAAATTATGATAATAGCAAAATCAGATAGATCTAGCTCTATCACTTAGGTACCTTCGATTAGATCTTCTTTAAACCAAGTACAAAGCACTTTTTTCTCCCAAATTATAAAAAATTTCCCTAACAATAGACATTTACTAGAGTTCTAGACCAATGACTACGTGTAATTGTCACAATTTCCCTAAATACCCGCTGTGGCGAATTTAAAAATAATAGACCCTGCACAAACTTTATGGGTTTGAGTTCTCGGTCGATTCATCTGAATTTTTGGTATGTTGTACTTGACATCCTCCTTATCAAAAGTGTTCATAGGCCCAAAATCCGGAAATTAACAGTTTTCGAGATATCGAGGACGCAAAGTCTCAAAAAAAATGGAAACGAGCACTTTTGAAAATTATTATTATCCAATTTTCATTATTTATCGGATTTAGATCCATTTGAGTATTCATAATATATATCTGGAATGGATATCAGTACGACTACACCTCCAGGACAAAATAAGGGTTGAAAAACAAAATATTTATATCAGGTTGTTACGATATTATCCACTTGTTTTTTTTTTTTTATGAATCATTCTATATGGCTAAGAGCATGTGTGAGAAAATCCTTGAGCTATTTCCACCCTAAAACACTCTCCAAATAGGATTAGAAAAATTAAAATATTTATATCTCAGGTTGTTACGAAATTATCCAGCTGGTTTTTTATAAATGATCCTGTACGACTAAGAGTATGTGTAGAAATGTTCCTACGCATGCTCTTAGCCGTATAGATTGATTTGCAAAAAAGAAAACAGGTGGATATTTTCATAACAACCTGAGATATAATAGTTATTTATGGCACTAGTGTGTTACGGTATATATGTCACGCTGGGAAATGTTTAGCTAATTTTCCCAAGTGACTTATATGACATAACGAGTGCCATACAAAATTGTATCCAACAGTTTCATAGAATTTAGTGTTAATAATAAATAAAAGTAACTTAAAATTTCAAGTTGTCTATGTCAGAAAAAGTAATTTAATGAAATGAATGTATTTTTAAATATTACAAAGGATGCGAGTGTCAACCTAAATTGTGTCTGTAAGGGTTTCACAACTTACTAGTGACTTCTAACTTATAACTCACTAGTGAGTTATAGGCCACATTATTCCTTTAAACCCAAGAAATTATATACAAGTGTTGGATAAATATTTTAGTTTTTCTACCACTGTTTCGGGGTGAAAATGACTCGAGGATTTTCCAACACATGCTCTTAGCCATACAGAATTCATGAAAAAAAAAAAGCAGGTTGATAATCTCATAACAACCTGAGATATAAATGTTTTAGTTTTTTTTAGAGATATTTCGAAATGAAAGTGCCTTGAGGATTTCTACACATATGCTCTAGTGGTAGGTATAGAATGATTTATGAAAAAAAAAAAAAAAACGTGTGGATAATCTTGTAATATCCTGAGATATAAATATTTTAGTTTTTCAACTCTTGTACTGATTTCCATTCCAGATACATATTATGAATATCCAAATTGTTCCAAACCCGATAAATAATACAAGAATGGATAATAATAATTTTCAAAAGTGCTCGTTTCCATTTTCAGGTTCATGGAAATACTCCATTTTTTGAGACTTTGCGTCCTAGATTTATCAAAAACTGTTCATTTCCGGACTTTGGGCCTATGAACACTTTTAATCAGGAGGGTGTCAAGTAATATATCAAAAATTCAAATGAATTCACCGGAAACTCAAACCCATAAGGTTTGTGCGGGGTCGTTTATAATTTATTTGGATATTGGCAAGTAAAAGCTATTACACTATTACATATAACCACCTATTTTTAATATTTTCATCAACCAGTGTTTTAATATGAAATACTTTTCTTCTTCCAATTTTTCTCAATTTTCTCTAGAAATAAACAAATTTTGGAGTACTGATTAGGTGCAACTGACTCTAGGTTCCCAATCAACTTACAACACTCTTTGAAGGAAAAAGCTAATAGATTTAAAATAGTAATAGCAAAATTAGAAGGGACTTGTTTTATAACTTACATTCATTTAGATCTTCTTTAACTAAGTACAAAGCACGTCCCTTCTTCCATTTTTTTAAAGTTTCCCTAGCAATAAACAGATTCTAAGCTAATGCAAGAGTAGGTGCAACCACTACGTCCCTAAATAGCATCTTACAAACTTGAAAACAAATTTAAAATTTGCTTTTAAATAACAGTAGCAAGAAAAATGTATTAGATTTAAAAAAAATAATAATAATAGCGAAATTAGATTGCATTCGTTTTACCACTTGTTTTCAGTCAGACCTTTAACATTTTCCCCAGTAATAGACACTATAGACATATTCTAAAGTAATGGCTAGGTGCAACTGTCATCACCTCCCTAAGTACAGACCACCGTGAACTTGAAAATCAACTTACAACTTGCTTCGCCGTACAGTCGTAGGGCAGCCCCCTCATCCTGACGATAACGGCCGCTCCCCTGGATAGAAAGGCCTGCGCCTCGCAGCTGGAACCCCCTGCCACCGAGAGGAAGTCATCTCCCGACGCTCGGTACACCTCGATGTACCTGTTGGTGATGTGGTGCTTGTGCCTCTTGAGGGCCATGTCCCTGTGCTCTTGACTCACGAATCGAACTAAAGCCTCTCCGTTCCGTCTCCCTTGCGCCGAAAGACAAAGAGCTACGCCGCCCCTGGAAAAAATTGGTATAACTAGTTCGTATCCATATCATTTTTTAAATATTTTACAGGTTAAATTAGACCTGACTACAAAATATATACAGGCTACCACAAATATAAGACAATTCAAAAGTCGATACCCATTTAAAATCCGAATAACGCATGTTATATACAGGGTCGGAAAGTCCCCATGGTTCATCGGCCGTTACGTGAGAGCGATAAAGTAAGTCATAGAAATCCGTGCGATAGAGGAAGATGGCTATAATGGAGGCGTCTAATAGTCACCGCTCATTTCGCTCTTCCACAAATAAGAAGTGGATCAATGGTAAATCGTATAACTAGTATAGTTAAATTGAAAGACGCAAACTGATAAAACTAATTATTGGAAAACTAATATGTGTCATCTGTCATAGATGTTTTATTTTAAACAAATGACATGAGCCACCTATGACTGCATTTTTTAATAACATTTGATAAAATGCGGTTTGTCTCTGACCCTTATAAGATTTACCATTGTACAATTTTTTTTCTGTAGTTGATCATTCGTTTTTTTATAATTTATTGTTTGTTAGTTAGTATATGATATGAATAAAGCCGTTATAACAATATTTTAAAAGGATATTTTGACTCGGTGTGATTTAAATAAAATAATAATATATTTTCCTGGTATATATTCATTGCATATTGAAGTCGACATATATCTCGAAAACAAGTAAAAATAGGGAAAAACTTTATATTACAAAAATTACTCAAAATTTAACGATCTTTCAGATGGACTATATTTCCACGTTCCAGGGAACAAAATTTTTTTATTATCGCCACACCATCTTACAGAAGGATTTGAATTAACAATTCTAACTCCGATTTGATGCTATTCGAGGGACCTAACAACCCCAATTTCCGAAACTAAAATAAATTTCTTCATTTCGGAGATATTGGCAGCGGGAGTGTTAAATGGCACATCCTGTATACGTAAACAAATGTTTTCATTGACAAAAAGGAAATAGCATAGGATAAAATATACAGTATATTTAATGCATAAATAAAATTCCTTGGCCCGCGAGACTTCGGATTAAAAAAAAAGATCGAAAATGGTCAATTAGAAGCCGAGATAATGCAATTTTTTTCGTACCTTCGCATTTTGAACCTCCGAATTCAGTCTCGGAGCGAAAGCCCCCTCCGCTCTTTTCGTGTTTTGAGTCACTTTTCGCGCGTGCAAGCGACAGCTTTTCCGCTGATTTATCTATGTTGCCGATAAGTTATGGATATGAAAATTTTTTCCAGCTTAGAACTCGGAAAAACGAAGCCACTGGATCAAAGATTATTGCTAAGTTGTTTATAAATTAACGGTAAATGCCGACAAATTTTGACCGCTTATATCTCGAGAACCAATAAACGGAATTATAATTTTTTTTTTAAAGAAGCGTCTTTCCGAGTACTTTAAAACTATAATTTTTGAAAAAAACTAAATTGAAAATTGATAAATGTAATCTAATTGTTTAAAAATAAAAAGAGTGTTACTTTAAAAATTTACTGTGGCCATCCTAATCAACCGATTTCAATTTTTCTAAAACCATTTGAAAGGTTGAGCGGTTTTTTCTATGTGAAAAAATTCTCAAGTATCTAGATGCTTTATTTGCGGCTGTGCAACAGTTTATTTGAAAATTTTTTCAAAAAATTATTTTGCGAAAACTATAGAACCGATTTTAATGAAATTTGGTGTGTTGTTTTATTATACTCTAAAGTTTTTTTTACCAAAATTAGAATGCTCTCGGAACAACTAAAACATTTTAAAAATATTATCCAAAAAACTTGATTATTTTGCCTTGTTTTCATCAATTATTGCTATTTTGTAACATTGGTAATAAATTTAAACATGTTTAACTTATAGTATATTGTGTAAAATTCAATTCTAAAACTTTTTTCCTCTTTAATATTCTTCCAAAATGCATAGGTTCCAGGATATAAGTAAAAAAACTCAGATAAAATTGGTATTTTTTTAAATTTTTAAAAATTTTTTGCAATTTTGAAAATGTTCCGAACCTCGCCCAGAGCTAGGGATCTACACTTTTATTATGTGAGTTGTACAGAAGGTAATCCAGAAAAAAATTGCTTGCCCCCTCTCACATCCACCTCAAAACAGATCCGCTCTGGTGTATTATGGCCGTGCCCTAAGAAAAGTAATACATATTTGACTGTTTTTTTTTTTGGAAAACGTAATACTACGGAAGTTTAACAATAATCATTTCTGAAACCAAATTGATTACACGTGTCTTTTATTGTTGCACGTTCGATAAGTTATAGTGACAATTTTAATAACATGTATAGAAATACAATGTTGTTATGCACACGTCCACTTTTAAGTTAATAACAAGTTCTAAATATTTAATTAAAAGTTTTTAAACAAATAATATCGTTAACCAACTACCGAAATTCATTTAAAATACAGTAAATTATATTCCTTCAAGTTCCATTTCGCGATCTCTAATCTCGGCCCGTTCAAAATTGGGTCAAACTATGAACTAATTGATAAATGATATTTATCTATAATAACACATTTTGCAATGCACACAATATGTTTCGTTTTAAGTTATAAGTTTGAGAATGGTACTTTTGAAAAATGGTACTAGAAAATAAATATTTTAAAAAGACATAAATAATAAGTAAAAATTTTGCTAACATATGAGAACGTGCAAAACAACACCTAACCAAATCTTCCACTTGCAATTTGTTATATCATTATAATAATTAACAACGAACTCATGTTTTATTATTTTTTGCAAGGCACTATCGTAGGTATTATTAAATATTAGTGGTCGTTACGTGTATTTCTTTAATTTTGCATGTAAAATTTCTTTCTTAATACTTAAAATAAGTTGGAATTTGTATAACACGTACGATAATACTAATAGTCACTATTAATCAGCAACAATTATAACATTTTATGTCACTTTATTCGATAATTTTATCATAATTAGTTGTACTAATCAGTTCTAGGTCCTATCTTAAAATAACGCTTAATTCATTTAATTCAACGCAGAAAAATTATATTAATATTAGGAGACAAAACATATTTAAAAAAGGAACTTCGGATTTTGTGAAATGTCAGGTTGGAATTTCATAAATAGTACGTTATGAAATGTCTGTTGTAAGCACCAGAAAAAACAAAAACAATTTCCTATATATGTTTATACAAAGTCTGTCTGCAAGTATTTTTAATTTTGATAAAAAATAATACATACGTACGGTCAGTGTAGTATAAATTATTATTGTATGAGAAACAATTTTTTATCGAAAGCCACGAATACTTGCTGTAATAAGGAAATCAAAGAAAGCAACGAATAGAGATTATCTAAATACTTGGATATTGTAAATATTGACATTGACAGATTATGAAGTAATTCTAAAATACACAATTGAAATTATCACCAAATATAGATTTCTTTTAACTATATTTTATTTGCAAACATTTAAAAATATGTAATTCAAAATTTTGTAGGGGTTGTTTAAAGTAAACTTATTAAAATGTTTCTAGAATAATGGAATATTGGTTTACAATAAAGTTTGTTTCGTATTTTAACACTTTTCTAATTTATCCAGTAATTTTTATGGATAAATTATATGGATGGAATGCCTTAACAGATCTAAAGAATCTCAATATCCGTATTCGTAAGAAATGATTCGATATAAATATTAAATGATTTAATATGATATTACTTATTCAGAAAAAATACATACTTTGTGTTGGCAACAGTTATGGTATACAAATTGAAAATGTATATTCTACTCCAATGTACAGGAAGATTTCATAAATAATGGTACACATCTTAAGGAAAGATTTCTGATGTCAAATTATGATAATTGAACTGAGTATATCTCATTCGAATATTGCTGTTTTTCGTTCTACACGGTCTTAAAGTCAAAAAAATATTTTCGATTTTTTGTAATAGGTAGGTACTTTTGAGTATTTTGTAACGAACCTAATTAATTTAGTCAGATCTGATGAACCTTTTTCTATGAACCTAATGTATTTAATGTGGATCTAAGTATCCAGTGAACAGTTTGTCTGTCACAAATCGACTATAAAAACCGGGCTCCGATCACGAAAAGACAGCGCTCAACCCCGCTCCATCCGAAATCATTTATTCTGTCAAGGATATTGGCTCGCGAAAAGACAGTGTTGATTGACATATCCTCAGCACGAAGTAAGTCCTTTTCCCCTTGGTACCGACCTATCTTTGCCCCTGAAGATCCCAAAGTCGGCTTATTCCTCTCGGAGCACTTAGGAGCTACCGTTACCATCCCGTCTGGGAACAATGCGTCGGCTTATGCCGCCTGTTTTTGGAACAGGTTGCTTTCCATGATGCTCCGAGGGTCTGTTTATTCCTTTCGTAGTTCCTTACTCACACCTACCTACTGAACCTGAATTAAAAAGGATTCTATATTTTCTGGAATACCAATTACGAGATTTCCCGAATATTTGTCGATTGATTTGTTTTAGTGGTTATTGTATATATCAAAAAGTAGTTTTCTTCGAGACCCCTATCTTACACATAGAAAGGTCATCACAATCTCTGGATGTATTATTTTCAAAATCCGCACACCCATGGTTTTTAAAATGACAATTACGAATTTTATGAATAATATCAAAGGGCAACATGAAACTTTATTCAGTCTTAGGTTTAATTTAAATAAGAGGTTGACAAAACGCACTGAAGTTAATTGTGATTATTTTGAGAAGGTTTTATAGTTGGTAATTTTTCCTTTTCCTTTTCCTTTCTCTTTCTTATTGTGTTTATATCAATACATGTGTCTTCATTTTTCACAGCCTACTTCGATAAAAATCGTTGTTTAATTTAATTTTGGCCTATAGTTTTTAAAATATTAATATTGAATAATTCCAAAAAGGTTGAGTTTGGCGAGTTTTACCAAATATTGTTTTCATTTAAAATTGAACTCGATTTAATAATATTTTATTCGAAATTCAGATTTTCGAAGGGTAAAAAAATACACATTTTTATTATGACATGAGAGTGCAACTAGCGCCCCCTAGAAGTGACTGTAACATAGATATTCGTAATTGCCACCTGAAAAATCACGGATTTTAAAAACCACGCGCAAATTCTCAAGGCAGTCTGTACAGTGATACTCCAAGTATTACAGAAAATTGAAAATATGTAGAAAGAAAACGAGAAATATTTGAAAAGGTATATTCAGATGTGTACCACTATTTTGAATCATTCAGTATACACAAAAGTAGGGACTTTTTCATGGCATGGTTGGTAATAAAATGACAATTTTCTTATCTAGAAATGAACATGAAAATCTAAAATATATTGTTTTCAAAATAAAACATTAAATTAACACAATTTTCACGAACCTATCAATTAATTTATTCTCAATACTGCATATCCAAAAAATATGGAAAAAACAAAAGTAAAAGTACATTCGGTACACAGAAAAATGCTGCTTTATGTTTTATTTGTGACAATATCAACAACTGCACTTCGATATAGTTTTCAAATTTTGTTTATCTAAAAAAAACATTCTATTAATCTATTTACTCTGATCATTTAAGATCAATCAGAATAGTAATTAACAGTGGCGGCTTTCGACTTCCATACCAGCGAGGACGGAAAAAATTAGGTACAAAGTATGGAAAGAAAAGTCAAATATAATTAGATAGTTATTTTAAGTACTATTGAAACATAGTAAAAATCCACTCTTCTGCTTTTGTCCGAAATAAACTTTTCAATTACTTTTTCATTAAAGTTTGGTATTTCCGCGAGTATTTCCCGCACCATTGATTTGTCAATAGATAACATTTCAAGTGCTGTTAGTCTGTCCTTATAATCTAATTTACACTTTTACAATATTTTCAAAAACACAAGAAACACTACGTAGGTAACAAAATCATACACCACACGTAAACAAATTGCGTTAAAAGAAAAAACAAAACGGTGAATAATACTATTTGGTTACGGGTAGACTAAAAAGAGCTTAAACTGCATAACAAATATGCGCTACGTCCATCCCGTCTTTCACTGCTGCACGACAGTAACCATGGCCACCGCTGTAAACACTTTACAGATTTAGGAATGTTGTGAGATGAGTTAAATGTATTTATTTAATAAGGATAATCTATTTAATTATCTAGATAATAACATTGTAAATAAACTAAATTTTAAATTATTTTTTTTACTATGATAATTTCTAGGGGGGCAGTACCCCAGAGCCCCTCGCACCAGCCGCCACTGGTTATTACTTATGCAGTTTTGTTGATTTGGAGGTTCGATTATGTATGAATGCATTGAAATTTGTTTACCTCTTGTAATAATCAAGATGGAGGGTATTCTAATAATAGTTAATATTTATCTGAACATCGTCACCTATATCACTTGAATCACAATCTACAAGGTCATTAATACTATAGAGAACATCTGACAGATTCTTGATTTTGAACTATTATTTTAGCTAAAAGTTCTAAAATAATAAAAATATAAAACAGATTAAACAGAACTCACTTTGCAACATTTAAGCCCCTGAAAAACTTCGCTATGTCCTGGTCGCTGCTTTGCCAAGGTAGTCCTCTAGCTCTCACCACACAATTGCCATCTATTTCATCGTCTTTCGAACTGAAAAAAATTAACGTTAAAAACGTCGTTTAAATTAATTGCAATAAGTTACACACTTTGGTCATTTAGAAAATACTAGCGAACTGATGATAGAACATGTATCACGCATTTCATTTTTTAAGATAGACCACTTACTACTTTAATATGCATAAAGAGAACCCGACACATTTTAAGTTGAACAGAAGCTATGCGAATACATAATTGCAAATATATAAAAGTGAGTAATAAGCTTGGGCAACTTCATTAAGGTGATAAGAACATCGTTAAATTTAACGATTACAGTAGTAGCGAATGAATAGAAGCACAAAGGGACAGTGTCTATTTAAAATATTTAGTAATTTACGGGAATTACTGGGGAATAAAATTTCTGAAAGAAAAAAGAATAAGCTTTTCGTACTTTAGACTTGATAAAAAATAAATGAATTCACAGAAATATTGACGTGGTAGTTTTGTAACTTTTTACGATAATAATTCACTTATTTTCAAGTAGGCAGAGACACACCTGTTTGAATTTGCGCAAATCTGTTGTCATCTTATCAGGCTCCGGAGATTGCCTTAAAAGACTCGAGGTACTGATGTGTTTGTTACAGGATGTGTTACAATTTAGTACAATATCGATAATGTACCGACAAATAAGATAGTAAGTAGTAAATAAAATGGCAAATGATTTTCTTCATTAAAACAACAAACTAATTTTTGCAATGAAATAGTAAATATAAAACAACCCAAAGTGATAATATTATCAAGCTAATTTAAATAATTTCAAAAATGTATCTAAAAGTCCTATCAAATAAGGTCAAACAATGTTCTTCGGTACCAATATTTGAATGCGCGACATAAACATTGGTCTGTAGACCCTATACAGGGTGTCTCATAATTAACTGCCAACCCTGAACAGGCCGATTCTATGATCAAAACTAAGTAAAAAAGTTCATATGAACATGGGTCCGGAAATGCTTCCTAAGGGCACAGGGACCCATTGAAGAGGGAGGAATGGAAATCATTTTTTTGCAATATCTCTCAATCGCGTTGTGATAAATGAATGAAATTTGGTATACACAGCTAAATTTTGATGAGCAATTTGATGGACTAATCCATTTATTTCCACAAGGTCCATTGGGGTGGGTACGGGGGGGCCCTTGGTACTTTGCGTGTGTAACTTTTTCATCTTTGACTTTTTAACAAATTGGACAGCAAATTCCGTTTTCCCGAACTGTTTTACGTTAAAAAGGTACTCTTGTTTCAAATCGTTATCTTTAACGGTTTCTGAGAAAATCGCTCTTGAATTAATCCCACTTTGGTCAATTTCATAGTAATTTAAACAAAATTATCAAGGTATTCTTATGTCAAAGTATTGTCAACCCGATTGCCAATTTAATAGTTCTAAGCGAAAAAAATGGAAGAGTTTACGGGACAAGAGTTAGTTGATATGATATTTATTTATGGCTTTTGCGATGGTAATGCTGCAGCGGCAGAACGCGAGTACGGGAGAAGGTTTCCAAACCGAAGGCTGCCATCAAGGAGGACATTCCCTACGGTATTCCGCAACTTAGCTGCAACCGCCACTTTTCGAAAGGCACCGGGTCAAGGACGTCCCAGGATTAATAGGGAAGCGGAGGTCCTTGACGCTATTGAACAAGATCCTACGACTAGCATACGGAACATTTCAAGGCAAATAAATGTTCCTCGGCCAACGGTACTACATATCTTAAAGATTTCCTTAACAGAATTGATTAGATGTGCTACTAACATTTCAGGTTGGAAGAATATTAAAGCGACAAGGTCTACATGCCTATCACTATCGACGTGTACATGGCTTGATACCAGAAGATTTTGCGCCACGTATGCAATTTTGTCGCTGGATTTTGTCGCTGGACAACGAGCAAGCTTCCAAAATTTTGTGGTGTGACGAAGCTACTTTTACCCGAAATGGAAAATTAAATTTTCATAATTCTCATTATTGGGAAGAAGAGAACCCACATGTTGTTCGGAGAACAAACTTCCAGCAACGGTTTTCCATAAATTTATGGGCGGGAATAATTCACGACACTCTGATTGGACCTATTGAAATTCCACAACGTCTCAATTCAAATCTTTATTTAAACTTACTTCAAGAAAATCTTCCCCAAATTCTCGATGATCTGCCTCTAAATTTACGACGTAACATGTTTTTTCAACACGATGGAGCCCCGGCACATAGTGGTCGCAATGTTCTAAATTTCCTAAACGAAAATTTCGCTGGACGGTGGATAGGGAGGCACGGACCGGTAGCTTGGCCGCCGCGTTCTCCCGACCTAACCCCGCTGGACTTCTTTTTCTGGGGATATCTAAATCAAAAAGTTTACGCCACCGAAGTCGATACCCGTGAGGAATTGCTGCAGCGTATCAATGATGCAGCCAATGAAATTCGTCAAAACCGTTTTAGCATCTTAATAGCTTCGAGAAGTGTTACACGTAGGGCAAGACTTTGTATCAGAGAAGGTGGAGGGTTTTTTGAACAGTTTTTAAAATAGCTTGTTGTCTGTTATCAAAATTAAGTTTCCATCTTATGATCCCTTCGAAAAGTGACGGTTGCAGCTAAATTGCGGAATACAGTGAGGAATGTCCTCCTTGATGTCAGCCTTCTGTTTGGAAACCTTCTGCCGTACTCGCGTTCTGCCGCGCAGCATTACCATCGCAAAAGCCATAAACAAATCATCATATCATAATTGTTCTACATCAATAATGTGTATTACTGATTACGTATTAAATTATTATTATTTTTTTTTGTTTAAATTACTATGAAATTGACCAAAGTGGGATTAATTCAAGAGCGATTTTCTCAGAAACCGTTAAAGATAACGATTTGAAACAAGAGTACCTTTTTAACGTAAAACAGTTCGGGAAAACGGAATTTGCTGTCCAATTTGTTAAAAAGTCAAAGATGAAAAAGTTACACACGCAAAGTACCAAGGGCCCCCCCGTACCCACCCCAATGGACCTTGTGGAAATAAATGGATTAGTCCATCAAATTGCTCATCAAAATTTAGCTGTGTATACCAAATTTCATTCATTTATCACAACGCGATTGAGAGATATTGCAAAAAAATGATTTCCATTCCTCCCTGTGCCCTTAGGAAGCATTTCCGGACCCATGTTCATATGAACTTTTTTACTTAGTTTTGAACATAGAATCGGCGTGTTCAGGGTTGGCAACTAATTATGAGACACCCTGTATACAAGATTCTCCGTTATTGATATTATAGGAAACAACGATTCTATGGGCTACATACCTCACTAGCATTGAATTATACCAGCAATATCTAGTAAATACATATCTAGTAATTAATTCTATTACAAAAATTAAAAATAATATATCGAAATATAAAGCCCAAAAGCTTTTACTTGACGTACTGATGTTGTTAAATAATGTAATCTTTCAAGGAAGAAAATCTTGTAACAAGAAATCGTAGAAAATGAAAATATACAGCAAGTTGATGTCTTTCAGTACTTAGAAGTAGAGGTAGAAAATAACGGAAAACAAGATGCGGAAATAAATAGGCGAATAAGTAAGACAATAAAATTATATATACAATGAGTACGAAGTTTATAGGGAAAAAGAAATCCCGCAGAAAACAAAATTAAATGTTTTTAAATCAATATATCGTCGAATCCTGACATTTGGCTGCGAATCATGGGTTCTATCGAGAAGACAAAAAAGCAAGATACAAGCAATAGAAATGAAATACTTCTCGAAATACTTACAAAGAATAAAGGGGATAACAAGGGAAGACAGAATAAGACATTAGAAGACCGGTCAAAAAAATATGGCAAGCAAAGACACATCAGAAAAGAGGAAGAGGACGACCGAGAACAACATGGGATCAAGTAATTGGAGAAATATTAAAGTAAAGAAAAAATAAATGGACAGAAGCAAAGGAACTGGCAAAAAACAGGCAGGAATGGAGACAATTTTTGTATTGTTAAGTAAAATTACCACCTACACCATAATGTAGTAATAGTATATTGTGCAATAAGTGCAATTGTCTATTGCCCACGAGAGCGGAGTTCCGCTCAAAGACAACCGCACGAATTGCACATACGAATGCAATTAAATCTCAGAGTTTAGGGGCAAAGCCCAGGTGGGGTCCACATATTTTTATTCAGTTTAACTTGACATAAATAACTGTCATTTAAATGTCACTTTTTAAAAATAATTTTTTCGAGTGTATAGGTATTTAAATTTTGCGTGTTTTATTGGCAATTCGCGTGCGACAAGTAAGATTACCGCAAGCAAATAAATAGAGTGGGCAAACAGCTAGTTACCGACCTAAAAAACATGCGAAAAGATAGGACTTATCCGTCATGAGTAATACGGTTTTCGACTTACATATCTCCATATAGACCAGGCAAGTTAGACAAGAAATCAGAAATTTTTTTCTGATGAACCGATCGAGTTGCGGTTTTCGGCATTGTCTTCGGAGAAA